GTTTGTTGTAATAGTGAGTAAGATGATAACACAATGTTTACTACTGTACCTCTATTTTTGACATTTTTACCTATTATGTCTGTTTGTTTTGTTCACACATCGTTGTCAATATAGTGGAATTTTATGCTGCTGTCATACAAGTGAGAGGTTTAGCTAGCTATAAAATCAGGTTTAATTCACCATTTTCTACATAAGAAAATGTCTGTACCAAGTCAGGAATATGACAGTTGTTATCTATTCGTTTGATGTGTTTGAGCATTTGATTTTTTCATTAGATTAGGGACTTTCCGTTTTGAATTTTCCTCGGAGTTCGGTATTTTTGTTATTTTACTTTTTAGTATCTTTCGCTTCTCTTTTTTAATCTTTGATTATTTTATTATATTTAGTCATTTACAAAGACATCAAATAAGGGATTAAAACTACAGAAGCCTGATCAAAACCAGATTGCTACGAATTACTTGCTGACGATTGAAGTATTTTAAATTGTTTAGGGCTTCTTTCTCCGTATTAAAGATGTCTGATGTAATCGTTTTAAGTGCAGCCAGTGCATTGTAGAATGAATCTAGAACAGTTACTTGTTACCAACATTATATCCTTTTCAATAAGAAATATGAAAATCCCGAATATTCTGCTTTTTCAAAGAAGAGAACAAACTAGATAAATGTTGCATAGTGGTTTCAAGGACACAATCCTAAAACAGAGAAATGGCCAATGACACAATCTCTAAATATGAAAGATTATTCACCAAATTGGAAAAACACAAAATAACAAAAAATTAAAGACGGACGTTCTTTCATCTTTGTGTGATTTCTTTTCAATCCATGACAAAGACTATATCATGATGTAATGCTCATATTCATATGAGGTAGTTTTGAATTTAATCTTTGATTCTGAACTTCATAGATCAAACAAAATTCTATATTGAACGCGTGACGGTTTCGTCGTTAAACATACAAAAACTGACTTTATATGGACATGAGTATTTTAAAATTGTACAAGGGACTACAGAAAATTTTAGAAAGCATTGTTTAGATTATTTTAGAATAACCGATACTGACGGAAACTATTTGTTGCGCCGAAAAAAGAGTACAAAATGTATACATTATAATTTCATCTTTTTTGTATTCATTCTTTATCAGTATCGTTGATCAAATATTCAGACACATTTATTAGTATTTATTTTCGTCCTTGTCTTATTGAGTAAATGTATGGAACAGTGATTTTCGTTACACTTAACAATGAAAAAGTTTAAGAAATCGCAAAAGATTGGGTTTACAAAAAATCTTATATTTAAGAAAATGCAACATGTTTGTAAATTGCTGAAAACCATCATTTAGATCCTTTTGCCATTATTTATATATATTTTTATATAAAAAAATACTTGGAAGATAACCAAGAACACTCTAAATAAATTAGCCAGTAAATGCATTATGTTTTGAGAATTAATAGAACAGAAAGGGTATGGGGTATCCATCCATAACACAAGATCAGTACATGCACAGCAAAAAACACAAAAAGCAAAGGAACAGCGCTTGTATTGCTGTTCTTCATCTTAAAGTAAAAATGATGCCTTCATCACGGACCATTAAGTAAACTTGTTATCTGTATGAAACATATCAATGCTTTGTTTTAATCAATAATATTTGAAATTTCAAAATAACAATGTCATTGCATTAAGTTATTGAAAGGTTTTTGTCTTATATATTATGGTTTATATATTAAAATTTGCCATTTAACTATAAAATAGACATTACGGTATTCATACAGTTTTCCTGTTTGAATGGTTTTACACAAGTCATTTTTTTTGGGCCCTTTATAGCTTGCTGTTCGGTGTGAGCCAAGGCTCAGTGTTGAAGACCGTACTTTGACCTATAAAGGTTTACTTTTACAAATTGTGACTTGGATGGAGAGTTGTCTCTTTGGTACTCATACCACATCTTTTTATATCTATCTTTTGTAAAAGATAAAACAAATGTTGTCTATAGCACCTTCAGCTTGGTAATATGTACTCCATATCTGGGTTCCGTTGTATGTTGCTGCATCAAAACCGAAATTTCAAATTAGAACAATGAAATTATCTAAAGATATATAATCCGTATAGTTAAGTAGTCAAACGACGATGAATTTCAATTTTTACATGTAAGTCATGATATGAAGCAAATTGATTGGTTGATGGTTGCTTAACGTCAAGTAACAAATATTTCATGTATGTTCAGGACTGCCACTGGAAAATGAGAGTTAATTGGTAGTCGTTGGTTCATGTCTGTCATATTTGTTTTTCGTAAATTGTTTTGTTATAAATAAGACCATTAGTTTTCTCAATTTAATTGTTTCACATTTTTCATATCGGGGCCTTTTATTAGCGACTATCCGGGTAAAATTATCAATCCTTTGAAAAAACTTATTCTAAAATTTACCAATTCAACACTGTAATTAGATCTTTGAATATTGTTTTTTTTTTAATAAATATTGATGTTATCAGTAGATTAAAACTTTACTAAATATTATTATTATACAGATTACACTTACGGTACTACAATCTGTCGATACCTATATTTTTGAATCGCACAAGGTCATGTTTTTTTCTGACTGTTAATGACGTCTTTACACTAAATCCATTGGATGCTGGATGTGTACTGATTGATATTTTAGTCGTAGAGACATGATTTTTGTTCATGTCTGTCATATTTGTTTTTCGTAAATTGATTTTTTTTTATATTTAGGCCGTTAGTTTTCTCAATTGAATTATTTCATATTTTTCATGTCGGGGCCTTTTATAGCCGACTATACGGTATTGGTTTTTCTCGTTGTTGAAGGTCTCACGATTGCCTGTAACTGCTTACATCCACTTCATTTGAACTTTGGTGAATCGTTGTCTCATTGACAATCATACCACATCGCCTTATTTTTATATCTATTTTTGGTTATGTTAGGGTGGTCTCCTTGCAACTGATGGTCCCATTTGACCAAGACCATGGCTTTTTTTGTGTGCGCGTTGTACCGAAATTTGTTTTTATTGGTTTATTATTTTTTATAAAACAATGAGCATCGTCCCAAACACATATTGTGTAACTGTTTTTAGGTGCATGGTAAAACTAGATCGGAATCCAATCGAAAAAGTTTGGTTCTCGTACCTGTCCCATGTAGAGAATCTCTTTCTGGTAGATAACATTGTAGGTGTTTGTCCATTTATGTAATTCAGTTTGAGTTTGCAGTTAATGGTCTTCTCAGTTGTACCAATTCGCATGTCTAGATTCTATTAAGATTTTCCAGGATTGACTATATATATATATATATTTATATATAAGTCTAAATTGAAAACAACGTTCAAACCTATGATTGCGTTGGATATATTAATAAAAGGGGATGCACGGTGTTCGAAAATGAACCAGCAACTCAACAAAATAAAATACGTGGTTTCCAAAGTTATGGTTCGAGCGTACTTGATGAAAATAATTACAGAAGCATCAGTTGTAATTCTACAGAATGACCTTCTAAACATAACCCACGTTATTAATTTAATTTAAGGATTAAAGTATTCATTTTTTGGCAGCTGTTATATCGGTTCTTGCATAAGGATCAATATAGATAAGTAGTGACACTTAAAGTCAGAAGAAACGAGTTTCTTGAAATTTTAATGTTATCGAAATTATTGAAATAAAGCATGCATATATACTAAACTAAGTATTGCATGCACGTTTTTTTATATTTATTACACATCTATAACGTATTATCGACAAATAATATTTCATTCAGTAGTTGTTGATCGCAAGCTAATTAACTTTTGAGTGTGTTGCCGAAGTTTACCGGATTGTGACATTGATAAACAATAAAAACAGAGCACGTGGAAAGCATGACAAATAAGTGAATTGAAAGAGCTATGATATTTGTTTTTATATTTTTTCTTGAGTTCCCATTCGTTAATTAAACTATTGCTTGACAGTTGTCAAATGATTTGTTGTATTAAATTTGTTCTTTAAGAATCTGTTACTTCTATTTACCTTCAAGATCACGTGTGTTAACATTCTTTTATCACGGTTTTCCCATCGCACTTGCCCTGTGCGGTGGACGAAGTTATAACGAGAGGTCACGTAGTTAAAGTCACTGCATACGGGAAAATATGGGCGAATTAGTGTCTGGGAAGTCAATAATTCAATATTGGTACATTTATGAAGATTTTGATAATATAAAGGATTTTCTTTGAAAAAAAATTCATGTTCACTTCTTTTAGAGTAAAACTTAGCCATCCAAGTATATAAAACATGTTCAATTTTTTTTAATTTTGAAGCTTTCATATGACTTTAAGTAACGAGCAATTGATTTTTCGTCTAAGATGTTTAGGTAGCAAATGTTAAGAGAGTCATAATGACCTACACAAGTTATCGAAAAGTATATGAATATTTACATGTATTTTCCATACACAAGATATCTACATATATTACAGGAAGAAATATCTCTGAATCACAGGTCAAAAATATATCGAACATCTGTGACATTTCGGCCACATCGGTATCATAATTCATTTGGTAATCTTATTTTTTTATCAGAGCGTCAATGGTGAGTCTTATAATATACAGTATGGGTTTAGCTCACTGTTAAAGCCAGAACGGTTACCTATTGGTTTTTTTATCATAATGTGGTCTCTGGTAGATAATTGTCTTATTGACAGTCAGACCACAACCCTTTACTTCTATACTAATGTAGACGAAACATAGGCCTATACGACAAAAATGTTCACTAGTGTAGTCTGAATGAAAATTGGAACAATATTAGAAACAAAAATTGCTAAAGTTACATAACATGGAACACTCATGTTAAAACTAAAATTAAGACTTTGCTAATAGCGACAAATTACACAATAAAATCATACAAGTCATGACTATTTTAGTAAAACTAACTAGCTAACTCACAACCCTAGGTGGAGGATGTATCAACCATTTCACGCTCAATGAAATGAGTGATAGTACCCGAAAAGTCACGAAAAAAAACTCCAGAGAAAATCGTTTAGTTGTATTTTTATATCAGTAAGAACGTCTGAACATTTTAAGAAAGATACAGAAATGTCGCTATTAAATATCGAAAAAAATCTGCCAAATCTGTGTCCATCTTTTCAAAGGGTCATTATTTGCCCTGTAAATAGAAAAAAGCTTTTGTCAAAATGTATTTCTCAAATTGTATTTCTTATAGCTGAAAACAATTACAAGTTGGTTGACCGTTATGGAATTTCTATTTCACAGACCACGACGGATATTTTTCAATTGTCGTAACCACTGTCCCATCCTTTTTTCCTCAAATGTGATCTACAGAATTACTTATTACCGTGTTGCTCAGTCTTTAGTTTTTCTTTGTTGGGTTTTGTGAACTGTTGTTGGTCTTCTCCCCGATTTCGTTTTTCCATGGTATTGTCATTTTGGTTTTAGATTTATGAGTTTAAATATCCCTTTGGTATCTTTCGCCTCTGTTTTATTTCACTTTGATTATAGTTGAAACTTAAGTTAAAAGTTACAAGTCCCTTTAGCTTACTATACATCTTTTTTCAATACTTATTCTAAAACAAGTTCTATATTGCATCTGTATGTCTAGTTAAAAATTCCTATTCGTTAAATATTTCTACATTGGATGGGGGTTTAATGGTAAAAATAAGATGGTTTTTTTTTAATTTAGAATCAAACAGACAAGTTACTATAAAATATCACAAAATAATAATAATCATTTAGCTGAAACGATTGATTGATAAACTTAATTATAAAGATTCATTAAAGTAGAACAGTTCATTTCGAGCGAAATTGTTAAATTTCATGTTACAGTTTAACGTAGAAAAAAAAATGATATGGAAAACTAGTGTGTGCAACCTTTTCCTCCTCTGTTTGAATAAATGTAGCAACATTCCAGCAGCGCCTGCATACGGAGTATATATCTCCCAATTGATACGATATTCCCGGGCTTGTATTTCCTATCATGATTTCCTTGATAGAGGATTGCTGCTCACAAGGAAGCTATTAAACCAAGAGTTCCAAATGGTGAAGTTGAAATCGTCCCTTCGTAAATTTTACGGACGCCATCACGAGTTGGTCGACCGTTATGGAATAACCGTTTCACAGATGATATCGGATATGTTCCTTATGTCGTAACTACAATACCCTTCCCTTTTCACGAATGTGACAATACAGAATTAGATTATTTACCGGATTTGTAATAACATAAGCAACACGACGGGTGCCACATGTAGAGCAGGATCTGCTTACCCTTCCGGAGCACCTGAGATCACCCCCAGTTTTTGGTGGGGTTCGTGTTGCTTAGTCTTTAGTTTTCTATGGTGTGTCATCTGTACTATTATTTGTCTGTTTGTCTTTTTATTTTTGGCCATGGCGTTGTCAGTTTGTTTTCGATCGATGAGTTTGACTGTCCCTCTGGTATCTTTCGTCCCTCTCTCTGATATCGACAATTAAAGATAGAGTGATGTACAACTTATAGCTTCTTTATTTACAATTCAATCAATATATTTACTGATAGACAGAAAATTTATTTCCTTAACATATATTCATATGCACTATTGTCACCATTCCTGACATTACTATCTATACAAAAACAAAGTCACTTTAAAAATTATGTATTTTTTTAAATTTCAAAGTTTCATATTTTTCTTTGTTCAAAGTATTGTATATCACCAAGAACGTGGTAACGTAACTTTTTTTTAAAAAAGATTTTATATGAATCTATCGCAGAATCTAAATGGTCAGTTTTATTTCAAAACTTTTATGAAAGTATTAAATTTAAAAAAAAATCTTATATTAGAAGTTGATGTATGAAGAAATAATTATGACACTAAAGTTACAGCTCCCTCAGGCAAAACCCTAGATGAAGTTGGCTTTTACTAGTCTGTCTTTTTTAATCACATAACTCCTAAAGTTTCTGCGTATTTATACATCCTTGGTTTTCAATGTTTAGCTTTGTGCATTCCCGATGAAGGTAAATAAAAAAGCGCTTCGGATAGTGCTTTTTTTTATCTATATGAACTTTAGCCTAATGAAGTTAATCTGCAAATTATCGATAGCAATTTCATACTTTCTTCTGCGGGATTTAACATATGCTTCTTTAATATCGTCATCTCCGTCTAGTGCAAGGTTTAATAATAAATGATAAAAAAAATTCGCAGAAACGAGCACTGATTTTTTTTGCATCAGAGCATTGTAATATCATTTAATCATGGGATACATCCATTTCAAATTTAAACTCTTACAACATAAATACACATCTACAAACGATGTAAAAAGAAATTTTTATCTCTAAGACATATACTCATTTTCCCAAATTTGAGTCAAGCTAGTATCCTTACAAAATTTCTCGATTTATTTTAATATTTACAAAGATGCAGTTTTACAAATAGTTATCATGATAAGCCCAATAGAAAAAAAAAAACGCGTACATAATTAGAAAACTAAGCTCGATCAATTTCAATTAAATCAGTTTTATGTATTTCATATTGTTTACCAATAATAATTCGATCATATTTCTTTGCATATGCATTTACAGCCAGAAATTTTATAATACCTTCGTTGCAAATATTTTTGAATGAAATACTTTTGTATTTTTGCATGATTTTTAACGTATATTTGATCAATGCTTACCTTATTTTGACTCGCAGAAGCCATTACTGCTTCTTGAATAATACTCCGGTTTGTTTCAGGATGCCCTGAAATGCGATAAATTAAAATATTTCAACACATTTAAATATTGAATTCATAACAAATTGAGATTTATCCATTTTTAAATCATCTGTAGAAACATCGTTAAATAGCATAAGGATATGTGTGGTGAGTTGAATTCATTAAAATCATATAGCACTTACCATATAGTCCATCGACATCTTTGTCTGATTTTCCAGATTTGCCCCCTTTGTCTGATGACGAATCACCTTTTCCACGTCCTGACATATCTGATTAGTCTCTTGCAAAAATAATTATGATCTAATTTTGAAAAAAATAGAAAAAATAACGTTTGAAAAGGTCAAATGAATAATCAAGCTAGAAGCTTCGCATGCTCGTCCTTAATTAAATAGCTATTCAAGTTTAATGAATCGTAATGTTTTGGTGCAAATAAATCTTATTTTATTAATGTTTTGAATGTCATCAATGAATTGTTCTAAATTGAATTTTACTAAACAACATTTTAACATGCAAACATCTCATAAATTAACAAAGCAAATAGTAAACGAAATTTAGTTTTTCTGGGCAACTAAATACTCACATGCAAATCACAAAGAAAAGCAAACCGCAGTATCAAAAGTACCTGTTAGCTTTATATATATAGTAAATAAACACAGGGCACGCCCATCATGGAAATTAATACATTGAATACTACAAAAGGTTCATTCTGTATGGACTAAATACATTACGTAACATATTTGTTTTAACTAATTCCCAGAATTATCTAATGGCAACATTTAGTTGTGATTTCAATAACACTTCGTGTATTCAAAATGTGTAATGAAGGATTTTCAGCTAATTGTTTTCATGCGGCTAACTAATTTTGTAATATAAAATAATATGGCAAATCTGTTCAAATATAAAAGGAAAAAGGGGTTCACTTTATATCACCATATCACTTCTTTTAATTCATTGACGATAAAAAAAAATTGTTATTCAGAATTTTCCTACGAACTTTAGTTTAGGCGTCCTCTTATATGATTCTAAATATACAAATTCTCAAGATTGCTGAGCTTTCCACTTAAACATCAGGTAAAACATACCAAATCAGTCATGTTACATGACCGGGAAAAAACATTCCATCCAAAATCCAAAGGTAAATATACGAAGGAGACTAATGTTATGAGACAGATGTTGACACAAAATAGAAGACCAATTGAAACCACGGTGTTTGAAGTACCTCGGCTACGAACTGTTTTTGGTTGGATATTTGTCAACATATTTTTTTCCGAAGTTTCTCTACAAACTGTTTTAAACAATGCTGTATTATTTGTTCCTATTGGAACACATTTTCTATACTCTTTATTCAGTTCAGAACAATTACTGTAATATTTCTTCCAGTGGAAATAACATTTTATAATATTTCTTTCATTTTGGAAGTTATATTATAAAGGAGCTACTATTCTCTGACAGAGTATATAATACGAGCCAACTTAATCAAGAGCAAAGATGGGATTTCTCTTTATTTATTTGGTTATTGTATGAAATTGTAAAAATTAATACACACATTACTATTTTCGAACCTTAGATGTCATAATTATCTATAAATATTCTAGGCTAATGGAGAAATAAGTAAAAATGCACGGCAAATGAAGAATAGAGTGAAGTAAACCTTACCTCGAATTTGATTAATTTCTCATTACAATGTGCACATTGAACGGAAATAATCGTGCTGAAAGAATGACATAGACATTGAGATTGCCAAATTGGTCACTTTTTGCACCTAAATATTATGCATGGGACGAAATAATTGGGGTATGTCAAAACAATTACCGACAACACAATGGCCGAAACAAGAGAGGAAAACAAGGAAAGGACAATCAACCAACAGCAGAACGATGCACATGAAAAATAGGCGGAAGATACCAAAGAGACATTAAAAAATGACATCACAGTTAACTGAAAACACCATCGCAAAATCGACGAAAAAAAAAACATTCAACAGAATGCTTCATAGAAAACTAAAGACTGAGCATCACGAAATGCACCAAAAGTGATGATCCCAGGTGCTCTGGAAGAATAGATAAATTGCATTCCACCAAAACACCAGGGTTGATCTTATATATTTGGAAAGATACAGCAGTTCCAGTTATACTTTAATTTCAGGTAGCACAGTTGATGACAATTATAGCTCTAACGTATGTTAGAAATATGACGTACAATACGCTATCAATTAAAGCATCCATCATTATAATAATCTCATCTGAGTTTTTTTCTTAAATAATTTGTGCCGTTTCTGACGTTTTTTATATATCTAGTTATGCATAGCATACCATCCTTCACTGTTGTCTGTTTGAAAGAAAAATGTTCCTGAAGCTCAGTCCTTAGTTTTCCATATTTTGAAGAATGATGTATGTATTTTCATCGTATACCTTTTGGATTTTAGGTTTTTCTTCGAATTTCCTATTTTCTTATTCTCTCTTTGGTATCATCCGCCTCTTTTGTTATGTTATCTTTATCATTTCTTGAGCGTAAACATAACAATGATCCTTATCATACCTACACTTCATAATTAATGCTTCAATTCATTAATATTTATCATGCTGAAAAGTTATCCATCGCCATAATGTTTAACAATAATAAGCGTTTCTAACCATACCATTTAGTGGTATAGAGACAACAATTTTATTTTTCCAGGAATAAAATTTAACTGGTATTCCTTCACGAAAATTAAGGTCGAATCACATGTTAAATCACCTATAAACAACAGTATTTATAATCAAAATACTTTACTATTTACTATTAACTATAATTGAACATTATAATATTTATTTTCTTTTCCAGCAAAGAATTAATATGGTATTTCTTACTGAACTCAAAGAAATGAGGGGAAACATTTCAATTCATATAAAAAAAGAGTTAGTATCGCACCTGCTGGGGGTCAATTTTCTATTGTAAACCAATGTAATTATATTATTTCGGTTGAATCAAATGTTTTTTCTGTTCGAAAATACATGATGATGGTTAGGGAATTTTCAAGAGTATTAGGGCTTTTTAAAGGTGTCCGATGAAATCGTTTTAATATAATGGAATTTTATGCGACTGTCATACAAGTGAGTGGTTTTGCTACCTATAAAACCAGGTTTAATCTACCATTTTCTAGATAAGAAAATGCCTGTATCAAGTCAGGAATATGACATTTGCTATCCATTCGTTTGATGTGTTTGAGCTTTTGAATTTGCCATTTGATTATGGACTTTCCGTTTTGAATTTTCCTCGGAGTTTTCGGTATTTTTGTTATTTTACTATTTAAGTGCAGACAGTGTAATGTCGAATGAAGCTATAAAACAACAGTTAATTGTTACCAACATCATACCCTTTTCAATTAAAAATATGAAAATCCCAAATATTCTGTTTTTTCAAAGAAAGAGAACAAACAAAATAAATGCTGCGTTGTGGTACGTTTCAAGGACAAAATCCTAAAATAGAAAAGTGGTCAAAGATACAATCTAAAAATATGAAGATTATTCACCAAATTGGAAAAACACAAAATAACAAAAGATTAAAGACACGCGTTATTTCATCCTTGTGTATTTTGTTTTAGCAATTCTTAACAAAGGCCAAACTATGTTGTAATGCTCATATCCATATAAGGTAGTGTCAAATTTAATCTTTGATCTTGGACTTCGTAGAACAAACCGCATTCTATAGTGAACGCATGAGAGTTTCAACATAAAACAGAATAAATATCTGACTTTATATGGACATGAGTACTTTAAAATTGTACAAGGGACTACAGAGAATTTTAGAATGCATTATTTATATTTTTTTAGAAAGACCGACACTGACGGAAAATATTTGTTGGGACGAAATACGGGTATACATTACAATTTCATCAGTTGCGTATTTGGGTCATTATCAAAAAAACATGCAAACTATGTTATATGTCTTTTTAAGTCACAGACATGAACATATATCAAAATAACACTTGCATATGTTAGATATGAATGTTTTGTTATACACTATATACAGTTTACAGTATGAAATGTTGTAAAAACATCCTTAATATTTTCTTAAACCCTTAAATTAACTGTTATTTTTTACTAAAAATCCTTTCAGACCTGAAATAGGACTATTATTCATATCATTTGTTATTAGGATTTATCACTGTTTATTGTATTTTGATACATACAAACATGTTTTTAATGATTTGGAAGGTGTATGTTGGTTTTACAGGGGCGGATCGTTCCAACTATATGTCCCCATTCAAATGCATTGACCGTCAAAAAAAAGGGAGGTCCAACCCCCGGAAGCACCCCCCCCCCCCCCCCCCCCCCCCATTGGACCCGCCACTGTTTTATAATAAAAAATTTCACCAAAAGGAAATGTCTCATTTTTAAAGTCAATGATGTAACCAAAAGACAAATTGGTAGGGTAAGAGTTATCTTTCTTAAGATTTCAGCATTTACAATAGTTTCTCCCTTAGCAATGTTACCTGTAAGCATGGTATGCAAAAGAAAACAAACAATTATGTTGAAAATTTAGTGAAAAAATCTTTAAAGTAAGTAAAAGCTATATCGTAAATGAAAATAGTGTCCATGGTGTACCCTTATAAATATCATTTTATGAAAAATTTCCTGAACTTTGAATTATGAAATACATTGATTGTAGAAAAATGCACCAGGAACAACATATAAAATAGGGGAATGGAGCACTTATTTTGTAACTAAATCTTAAAATACACCTGTAAATCATTGGTGTTACTGTCAATGGTGAGACAACTTTGATAAAATAACACCATTGACCAGTTAAGTAACACCACTGAATATATTATGACAATCAGCATTTTTTTTTCTTTCATGTTTAACAACCGAAACATCATATTATTTATGAAAAACAATACTTATTTAATAATGTTTTAACAATATCATGTATTACATATACAAAGTTTTCAAAAACTGGTGTAAGCTGGTTACACCAATGACACTATTTAGTAACACTATTGACATTTTTAGTTGTTGATGTTATTTTATATAATTTGAGATTTTTTAGCCTAAGAATTATTTTTTTCTTTTTTTTTTTCTTTTGCTCGGTGTTCTTTGTTTTGTGTTCAGTACTTAATAAAAGTAAAATTTGAAATTTGTTGTCAATGGTGATACTTTTGTGTCATTGGAGTTACTAAAGGGTCAGTGGTGTTACTATATACAAATGCAATATTTTTTAATTTTTTATTAACAAATGAAAGTGTTTTCAGGTCGTATACGGAGGATAGGCATTATCTAATCATTCACTCTTCAACATTTTACGTATATTCAGTTTAAGGGTATTTTTTAATTTAAAAAACGGCAATAATTAGGACAGCTAACTTTTATACAACAATTTATTCTGAAATTTATGTTTAAATAGAATGCATAGCTATATGAATGATGTCAATAAGTAGTAATTTAAACCTTAACAACAAATTGGAACAGTTGTTTTATATTTAACAATAATATTTAGAACCTAAACGCATGTTTTAAATTGGTAACACCATCGACACGATTCTATCAAAGGATGACCTTAAATTGTTAAAATTGAAGGAACTCTTCATTTTTCCCATTGCATATTTCTGAATATAGCTGCTACCATACCATAGAATAGAGGGACACATTTAAATGTTTTAAACAATGGCATCATTTTTCCAAATATTCCCTCATCGAAATTTGCATGTTTTTTGATAATGACCCATTTATCGTTTATCTTATATTTTTATATATAGAGAAAAATACTTGGAAGAACATTCCTAATTAATTAGCCAGAAAATGCAATATTTTGTGAGAATTAATAGAAGAGAAAGGGTATTGGGTATCCATCCATAACTCAAAATCATGACAAGAACATCAACAGAATGGAAAACAACTGTCACATTCCTGATTTGGCACAGGTATTTCCCCATGTAGTAAATGGTGGATTAAACCAGGTTTTATAGCTAGCTAAACCTCTCACTTGTATGACAGCCGCTTTAAATTCCATTATATTGATAACAACGTGTGAACAAAACAAGCAGACATAATAAGTAAAAATGTTAAAAATAGGGGTACAGCAGTCAACACTGTGTTACAATCTCAATCACCATAAAAACAAACAATCGTGCCAACAAAAAGAAAAACAAAATGACATATAGACAAAGCACACAAGCAAAAATGAAAGACAAGAATACAAAAAATGACCATAGCACAATGACACAATGGCGGGATTTATACGTACCGATCCACGCCAAAAGGATATTACCAAAACTGAACTAAACAGTAAAGGTTTATAATTTACAAAGACAAATATATAAATAACTTTCATCAAATTATAAACCAATTTAAAAACATTGTCAAGGTTTTTTTTTAAGGCTGAATTTGTACTTTTTGCTGGTCTGAACCCTGATCGACTAAATCATTTTTTAAGGTTTTGCTGTCCTCATCGGTTGTGTTTCTGGCTTTGGAACTTTTTTTTTGAAAATCTATACGATTTGGCACCGTTTTGCAATATATTAGATATCCTTAAATAATCACAGGCGCATTTCCACTTCTATTTGTCTCCGAAAGAATTATTTCCATCTTATCACCTCAAACATGCGAACACTTTACAATTGTAAACCTTTCAGTGACTCTCGGGTTTTTGTATGAAAAATGAGTATTAACTCACTTACTTACCCAAGGGGGATACGCTACAGAATTTCTTATACGAGCCTCGTTCTCAGTATTCAACTTATATTAAACGTTTTCATTATGTTTTACCCCTAAATTGGCGCAAAACCAATGTTTATTTTTGGAGCAAATAAAACACAACCCTGATGCGCAAATGAAATACAACCCTGTGGTGCACATGAAATACAGCATTTTACAAAAATTACCGCAAATGCATTGCACCCCTTTTTGCTATGTCAGTATTTTGGGCAAATGTATCCATGAGGTATTTTCATAACAATAAGAAATTGTCAAAAACTTTAATAACTGATTCTTTGGTGTTTTTCTTTTCGACTTTAAACTTAAGGATTGGTACTTTTAAGTCTTAATCAACTAAAAAAATATTTCCATAGTTTCTCTTACCTTTCTATTACAAATTAGCATTTTTTATTATCTCTCTCCCATTTATCCCCACGAGTTATAAATTAGCGCCATTGCGTTGACAACATTATTAATACAATATAGACGTCAGACACCGCGAAACCTATATACATTTTAACTTTATGTGAAATTATACTTTACAACGCGTGAACCTTCTTATTCTGAAAACCTAGAAACATACAAGAATATCTCCTCTAGATCAGAAATATTGCTTTCACCAATTTTTTCCATTAGAAGTGTTGACTGAATACTTGACTTGACCACTATCAATAAAGTGCTGCGCCATGAGCGCATTATATGCCCATCTTTTTTTCAATGAATAAAATCCCATAACTCAGAAACAAAAAATGTTTAATTGACAAAATCGAAAGGGAGCTTACGTAAAAATGAGAATGGAAATGGGGAATGTGTCAAAGAGACAACAACCCGACCTCAGAGCAGAAAACAGCCGAAGGCCACCAATGGGTCTTCAACATAGCGAGAAAATCCCGCACCCGGAAGTGCGCTTCAGCTGGCCCCTAAACAAAAATGTGTACTAGTTCAGTGATACTGGACGTCATACTTAACTCCAAAACATATAAATGAACTAAAATTAAAAATTATACAAGACTAACAAAGGCTAGAGGCTCCTGACTTGGGACAGGCTCAAAAATGCGGCGGGATTAAACATGTTTTGTGAGATCTCAACCCTCCTCTTATACCTCTAGACAATGTAGAAAAAACAAACACACAGAAATGCGCACAGTAAAAACTCAGTTTAAAAGAAGTCCGAGTAAATAGAGAATATCATATGGCTTTTTCAATATCACATCCGTATCAACCCGAGACACCAATATAATCCCAGGAGCTCTGCTCGAGGGATTATATTGGTTGAGGGTTGATACGGTGTGTGATATTGAAAAAGCCATATCATATACACTTTATTATATACATATACCTCACGTAGATGTTTTTTATGTGACATGACGACATACAGGTAAGGAGGTTTGAAATGACGTCATGCAGATTATAAGTTTGACATGACGTCATACAGATTAAGGGTTTGATAAAGCCTTTGCAACAGTGACTGCAATCGATGACGTGACGTCATACAGATTAAAGGTGTGATAAAGCCTTTGCAACCGTGCTGATATCGATATCATCACGGGTGGCTGATACAGCACGCTTGCCAATGATTGTATTACACATACAATTTATCTGTATTTACTACTAAGTATATAATAAATAGATATAAACAATTCACCAATGTTTCATTAAAATTGGTTAAAACGTTTGTGAGTTATTGCCCGACATGTTGACGACAAACAGAAGGACGGACTTACATACGGATATACGGATGGACTGACAACCAGACGAAAAACGGTATACCATAAAACGAGCGTATAAAAAAAAACCAAGGAACATGAATCAGGTTAATCTTATTCGCTTGGAGTATTCGATATTAAAAACGGTATTGATCGTGGCTCTTAGGTCGAAACCAATATTTTTTCACGACCTACCTAGTATGTACGAACACCTGCCTCGGAACCTTCTCTTAGTTCTTTTATTTTCCTTTGGATTTTGAGTTGATTTTTTTATTCTCTCCGTTTAACATATCTGTATTTGATATCTTCTATCTGACATTTAAGAAGAAAGACATGTTTAATACAATAATAAAAGTTAGGGTTAAGATTAATATAAGATAACGTTCAGCATTTACCAATAAACTTCTGAGGTAATGTTTCGATATGAACTTGAATTTTCAGTTACAGATCAAGTAGGATAATATTAAAGGGGCATTAGCTACGAGATATAAAAAAAATAAAATATGATTTTTTTTTCAATCATTAATGAAATTGAAATAGTGCAAAAATAATTCGCTTTTAGCAACCAGTTTGGTTCAATTTTGTAAAACATAAGCAAAGAAACATCGCTGATGAACTATTCACTTGCAAGTGAATAATTCGACCTCATTGAATCCGTATGCATGTGACCTTCAATTTAACCCCATAGCTAGAGATGGGTTACGCAGGAATGAGGCGTGTTCAGTTATTAAAACGAAAAGGATGTCAACATTGAAAGTGAAACAAGGGTATACCTTTTGATTGACCGATTCGATCCACAAAAACTCATTCTTATACAGGTAAAAACGAAGATTAACATATATTTTTGACCTATAATATGAATTCAAACAGACCTAGAAAAATCCAATTGCACGAGTTTGCTATCCATTTATGTTTATATTTATGTTTATATCGGGTTATATGACCGTCGACAGTCTTCGGAGGTCACCTCGATAGTTAAGTAGATGGCTACTCGACTTAAATACACACGAAATGCTGATATATTTTATCGAATCTATGCATTATAAATTGTTTATTTGAGACTTTTTATAATTTGGATATATGTTTTAGTATGTCATAAATCAAATATGAGAATTTGTGTGAAATCGGTGAACATGAATTTGACAGATAATGGTCCTTAAAGGAAGATATGGTTGTACAGTGAGTTCCATTATTTAAATCACATTTTTGGCAGTTATGTATGTTATTCGCTTAATACAAAATAAATTGGCCGAATGAAAGAAGTGACTTGGGATATACAAAATAACTTATTACATAATGTCTATACATATATAGAGGTAATAGAAATCCAAACTCAAGATTTCCATCACACCTTTAGATAAATTTCCTAGAAAAAAATAAAAAGAAAAGAAAACATGTCACGTCATGTCCTTTTCAAGGACATACTTAAATTTTTCTAGATTTGTGAATAATAATGACACGATTAGTTCCTAAAAATATTTAGAAAAATATGTTGTTGTCAGTGAAAGAATTTTTACGCAGGGCGTGTCTCGTGTCGGTGTTCACTATACATAAAACTATTAGGAAACACATTTATATTCTGCTTTTCTTGATTTACATGTAAGTATTATGTTGCTAAGAAATGAACACAACTTTTTGTTCATATTTGATTTGTTTAGATTTAGTTAAACATTTGAAGCTTACCAAAGTAAGATATTTATCACAAATTGGTCAAAACGATACTGTACATAACTTGAACAGCTATTTACTTACGAAAAGAATTTGAAAATTCTAGCTTAAGATTTTTTCCCCAATAAATGAAAAAGTTTTTTTCACTGTATAAAACAGACTAATTATACAAATTATTTGAAACACTTAGGTTTTGATACACAAAGCCATAGATAGCCTTAGTCGTATTTGGCTCAACGTTTCGGAATTTAGAGTTTTCAATTACCTCTAACTTTGTATTTTATTTGGTTTTCAAACTATTTTGAATCGAGTACCACTGATTAGTTTTATCAAGATGAAACGCAGTCTGGCATACTAAATTATAAGCCTGGTATCTTTGGTGAATTTTCATAAATAAACTTGATGATAATTTACAATTCATATATTGCAGCTGATTTTATATCCAGTTACTTTCCTACTGTTATACGAACTGTAACAGTGTTTGCAACATTTTATTTTATCAATGAACACAACGATTGGCCATTTGGTCTCGATAGTGTATTTGCTTTTCACACGCCAAATTTTGTTCAGAGGTGACTTCATTTTGTTGTCGCAAAAGCCATTACTAAAACTATTTTTTTATTGATATACAAACGATACAGACTTGACAAAAGTCATTTCTTTATATAATTGAATTATAATGAATACACTTGTACTTAGAACTACTGACAAGTTGCTGTCACGGTCAATTCATTCATTCCATTCGTTGTTGTTTGCCTTGTTGAACGCTTTTAGATAACTTTAGACTCAAATGGACTATACCTAAAATGATAATTGTCTACGTTGTTTGCTCAATATTTTTTTCATGTTAGATTGAAAATACTTCACAAGACTAATCAGATATGTCTGGACGTGGTGAAAGTGGTTCGTCATCAGACAAAAAAGACAAATCCGGAAAACCAGTTACAGATGAAAAATCTGGAGATCGAGAAGACAGTTTTAAAAGTAAGCGTTGTATTAGATTTAAAGCCTACAACACAAAAAAACACATATCCTTATTCTAGATTACTTTTTTTTTTTACAGATAACTTGAAAAAAAAAAATCTGAATTTGTTACAAAAAAAAACTTTTTAAATGTCCTGCTTTGAAATTCTTTCTTGATTGAAATATTTAAAATTCATATTGCAGGTTGTGGTGTGACTAGTGTTTTTGCGATGGCGCCTCCTAAAGTAAGCATGGCTGTGTAAAATAAGTTAAAATATATCAAAACATTTACAAAGATCATAATATAATCTTTTTTTACGCAGTTGAATACTCGCTAACTTTCCGGCGAAATCAACTGTTATGCTTATATATGTTTACTATTGGGAAGGGAAGTCTGCATCTGATTCATTGTAATTTGCAAAATAAGTCTTGAGATTTTGCAAGAAAAGCTAACTTCTAATTCGACAAAAAGGTAATTTTCTTGATAATTTTGATGTTCATACAATTCGAAATACTGAGATTTTATTACCTCTAGACATATATATATGGCCTCGGCGATATTTTGTGCATTTTTTTTGAATTTTCGGTTTCCAATGCATTTCAACTATTTGATTTATCCTTCCAACTGTTGAATCGAGCGCCATTGGTTAGTCTTGTGTAGAAGTAACGCGCGTATGGCGTACAAATTTATAAGCCTTGTGTCTTTGGTGATTTTCTAAGCAATATTAAAATCCTCTAATCATGGAAATATACAGCAAAACTCATTTTGACGAAAACCCGACCATTTACTATAAAACATGCCGTAAAAAGTGCAGAGGGAGTTTCATATGTCATAAAAACATTGGTTTTAATTTCGAACAGGGAAGATACAAAAACGTTTCTTACAAATTTGTAGAAAAACTAAATTTCAAACGAAATATAATTGCTTGATGATTGATTTATATCATGGAGAAAAAATATGAACTGGAAATTAAAATATTCCGATAGTTTCATTTCAAACAATAACACAAAAAGTTCCGGTGCCTGCGTTCTTGCCGATTAATAAATATTTGAACATGCTACCTTAACATTTTATAGAAATAAACGAGTTTAAAAAAAGCTTTCCTTTGAATTGTACAAGACCTTGAATCTAACTAAGGCGTATGATTTTTATGGAGTAAAATGATTATCAGCAAAGAATAAATGATTGATACAAAAGGGTTAAACAAAATTTAAGTAAAAAGGAAGCGACAACACAATTGCAAAAATCGGGGAAAAAAAGATTCTATAAAAAAGCATACAAAAACTAAAAACTATTTAACACTGAAAACAAGGACTGATCCCATGCTCTGAAAAAGGAAAAGCAAACCTTGCTCGACATATGAACCCGATCATGTTGTGTATGGTAAGTACAAATTCAGTGATGAGTCCCATTTTGTGATGTCACACTCGCGATAAATGGACAGGATTGAAATAATGATAAACAGTGAAACTATTTGTCGAAAATCGCTGTGTACGTGTTCAGATGTCGATAATTGATTCGTTAATTCGAGCTAAGAAAACGAAGATTCCACGGACAAATGTTCTCTACTCTAAAATAAATCTATGTTAATCATGTTTGACATTGTCTGTTCTAACAGTATCATTTAATCGTTTCATGTAACTATTTGTAAAAAAGGGAAATAACAACTATAAGTTGTTTTTTTTCTTCATAGTTTATGATTTCAAATTAAACAATTGTCTTAACGTTAGCCTATACATTAACCGTGAATTCTTTTTCTAGAATAAACGCTTCCTTAATCTTTCGCTTAAATGGACTCACCAAATTATATTCAATTGTTTCCTTTGTCTGCCTAATTTCATTAAGTTTGAATTGGCCAATTTACTGATTTCTGTTCACTAATGGAATTATTTTAAAAACTTACCGTTAGTTTTTGTAATTGTTATATGCCTTCACTTGGATTCGAACCCATCCTTGAAACCTGATTTGTGTGACTGACATCAACACATGGACGAAGCCTCTCGGCAACCAATGGGTTGCAATTTTAATTTTTAGTTTATATATATGAATATGAACATATGATACACATCGGTACAACAGACACAAAGGGCTTGTACCTTAATGTATACATAATAGACAATCGTATAGTATAAGTTGGTAGCCGCGAGGTTAACGTGGTTAATATCAATGAGTTAGAGAGTCATGTTAAAAGTAGAGACTTGTCGGTTTAGGTTCGAATCCCTGCATTCTCTTTGTTGTCTCTATTCTTTAGTTTTTCCGATTTTCTTTTTTGTATGTTACTGTGGATATTTTTGTAATGATAGTGGGTTTTCCCGTTTCTTTTTGGATTATTATTAGCTATGTCACATAATTGAAAAGAAAATGATTACATTCAATTTGTCCATTTTTGTTTTATAAATTCATCATGCTTTCATCTGTTTTACTACATATCTTTACAAATGTTTATTCGCAAGTTACTCCTATGCGAGTAAATCGTGATGTGTCTAGAATTAAGCTTCTTCAAGTTGATAGAATTTTCGGTAGCATACTTATTATATGTACACAGAAATAAGTTAGAATATGTCTTATTTGTAAATTACGAATAATGTTCAGATGCCTATTAATTTAAAGACAGACGTGTTATTTTATATTTATTTTTCTCTAACCAATTAATTGTGAACTTAGATTTATTAATGCATCGTTGAACATGATAACATGGTTATTTAAACTCACCAATTTAGAAAAGCCTTCAATTTTGAAAAGACATTAACACAATAGTTTAAGTTAGAGATACAATAAATAAGCGGTGATTCATGAAAAACAAACCATTCGCCCTCCAGGCTCATGGTTTCTTTTTCAAGAATAAACGCTTATTCATTGTATCAATAATACGGAAACTTGTCCGTTTGTTTCAAATTGAACATAATTGTATATTCATTATTTTTGTTTTACCCAAACAGAAATGTTAAAAGAATCAAATTGTTATCAAATTCACAAACAGATGCAAAATTTAAAAAGAATGTCCAAATAAGTACTGGAAAGAAATATTATATAGTAAAGAATATTTAGCAGAAAGTCCTACGGTAATCAATATAATGCATTTTTCTTTAGCTACATCAAATGCAATGTAAGCATATTTTGACCAATTATTTTCTGTTTTTCAGACCAAGAAATGACTTTGCGAAAAGAATGACACACAGATTTGGCAGAATTTTTTTTTTATATTTAATAATGACTTTCTTTAATATCTCTCTTCAAATGTTTTTTTGATAGAAAATAATAATGCAACGGTTTTCTCGTTATTTTTTCATGTCTTTTCGGCTGTGTTAACACAATACTTTTACTATTGAATTATTTTATCAGTTTCCACCATAAAAGATTGTTGTGTGATATCTATATTTCAGTATAGATATAATTTATGATAATAAGATAATAAAGTGTCTTTGTCTTTGATCTAGTATGTTCCTTTTGGTTGTATGACTCCTGACGTGACACGGTATTTATACATCCAGCTATCGGGTTTTGGGTTCCGCAAGAAGTTTTTAAAATGTTGTTTACACTTTTTTTACCCTCATTTTGTAAAACTTTTCTCATTATGAAATTCCTTAGAGTTCGGTATTCTTGTTAATTCTTTTGAAGATCACAGAATGTATAGTACTTGCTCCATGTCAGACAAATTTAACAATTTTATAACTGATTGTAGTCCCCTTTGAATTTAGCTTGTATTGTTCATAGAGGTTGATTTGTAAGTTATATATGCATATGTTAAATTGACCGTCTCGTAGCTTCTATTTGTATTATTCCTATATATATTATCCCTTAATTTGTATTTCTGATTCCGCCTTTCAGAATTTTATTTTCGAAGATGCCAATATATTAGCCAGCACAATTCGTATTCATACGAGTCACCAGTGACTCTCGAATCATAAATCAATTCAATAACGAATAGCATTTAAAAAACAGTGCAAAATCTGGTTAAGGAAATCTTCACCTTGAGTTTATAAAAAAAATGTCGCTGATGATTCTAACATCTAATGTACAGTAAAAGGGTTGGGTAATTTCTCCCTGTATTTATAAATCAGGGCAAATTCCTAAATTTATTTTAAACTTTACATAAAGTATCCACCATTTTTTTAAAAAGGAAATGCCTCTACCAAGTTAGGAATGTGACATTTGTTTTCCATTCGTTTGATGTGTTTGAGCTTTTGATTTTGCCATTTTAAGAGGGACTTTCTGTTTTGAATTTTCCTTGGAGTTTGGTATTTATGTTATTTTACTTTTTTCATAGTATTATAGCTCCAAGTGTAGTCTTTAAGGTTCGAACAATAGTGTGGGTTGTTATCTATAACCGCAGTTTTTGTTGATTTTGGAACTTTTAGAGATTATCAAAAAATGTATGAGAATGATATCCTTTACCAAAACGAAAATTGTATTAGAAGAAAAAACTTTCAGATACAAATCAACTCATTTTGATTAGCGACGTCCTTTGAAGCTAAACTTAATGATGTTGACTTTATGAGTGACACACGTACAGAGATAATTGACCCTACCTCTTCAAAGGAAATGGCCGCATCAATATTTCATATCAGCACTGTAGTGACTAGCCTGTCACAGCTGTTTGATGTCTTTTCTTAATACAACCCCCTCAAAGAATTGATGCGAAAGTCTTAACATGCTGCGAGCGTGGCACTTTGTCTTCACGAAACATCGAATTTAACGTTCATTCTGGACGGACAGTGCTGCGAATCTATACATTCCTGACAGCTAAACGAACACTCCGCTGGCAAGGGTTTGAAGTAAATTAAACTTTCTCTAAATCATCGACGTACCGTAAAGTTGTTAATCGTCGTCCATGTTTAAGATGGGATGGTGGAATCGGCTCTGGATCTTGGATATCTGTGGAAACATAAGTGATTAGTCGGTGATTGTGCGTGGCTTCGATCTCTGTTAATAAAGTCCTCACAGTCTCATCGTTGACGGCATTTAAGTTCAGATTTACATTCAGCTACTCTATGATTTCCAAAACAGTTAAAACATACCTTTGTTCGCTTTACAATTTCTATGCGTTTTTGACCATCTTTCACGTTTCTGTAGGTATTTGGATGATGCAATTCATAAAAAAAAACAAGCCTTTGTACATGCCTTTCTTACGTGTCATCGACTGAAAGTGTTTTTCGTTAATCGTTCCGGCAATAAATGAAGCGGTCGGTAAAATGTCTAATTCTTCATTACTTTACCCATAGATTGTCCTGCGACCAGTAGCATACTTCCTTCTTCATTGCTTCTGTCAAGTCCCAGTCTTCGTTTCCGCGGTCTCGAGTTATTTTAATTTTTTTTTCGTACATCGGACGAAAACGTATTGTATATAATAGAAGTAAGAATGGTTCCAAATATGCTCTGGCTTGTTCCTAAGGATTCTAAACCGTGTATGCTACACTCAATTCTGTCGGAAAGTTTCTAAAACGGTCTCCATTTGACCTCGGTGCAGGCAAATCAATCAAATTTTGAATATATGCGTTTGTAATTTTATAGTTCTGACCAAACCTCTCTTTCAGTAGTGACACGGCTTGATAGTAATTTGCACTTGTGAGTGGTAATCCGGCGATGCATTTTGCGGCTATGCCCTGAATTTGATTTTGTAAACTTTAGTACGTCTGTTAATGATTGGTAATTATGAGTTGTTGATTGAAACGGACCCCAGAAAGGTTGCCAGTTTAACAAATTGCCATTAAGATATGGAAGATTCAATTTTCAAATTGGTAGCTTTTGATAGATGCTAGAATTTGTTGCGCTCATTGACGATCTGTTGTGTATATCATTAATCTGCACGGGCTGTGGAGTATTGTATGTAGATGTGGAGTTCATATATACGAAACTCGCTGAATTTGGATTTAAGTTCTGATTAGAGCTAGTTTCATTTGATTTTTTTTTTTTTCTGTTTTGAACCTGATGTATTGCGTACTTTTGTCGAAATACGTTCTATATCTATAATATACCGGTCTGAGTCTCCTATCCTAGCTTCCATGTTTTCTTCAGTTATCTCCTCTAAAATGTTATCTTCCAGTTGCGTAAAAATGTCCTTTTTCTTCTTCAAACTCTCACATTAACATTTAATTTCGTCACGTTGTGTTGTTGATTTTTTCCAACTCTTCTTCTATCTTGGAAATTGATTTTCTTGCAGCTCCTCGATGGCCCTCAATCTTATGGCATTTTTTCCGTCATTGTATCCTGGTCACGGCAACAATGGGACGGATGGGTAAACAAAATGTATGGAGAGGCAATTAACACCATCTATTTCGTTTGACTATGTAATCTCAACTCAGTATAATAACTGATTACATAATGATAAAATAAACCCAGCGTTAACGTTTGAAGTAAATTAAACTGTTTCTAAATCGTCGGCAAAGACAGTCACGTTCTACCAACTGACAAAAAGATTACTTTACCAGAGCAGCCAATGGAGGATAATTATATATCTTCTATGTATATGGAAGCACCGCTACAAAATATGTTTACTAGAAACCCTCCGGAACAATAGCCATTAAGTTCTCAAAGCGGTTTGCTAGAATGAAGCCCCAAAAGTTCCCCTCATTTTAGTTTGTTTGAAAGTCGTTTGAAAGTCCATCTTTTTTCAATGTGGCTTTATATAGTAGACTTTATTGATATGTTTCATTTACAATCACACAGCATCTCTTTTTAAAAGGGTATTTGATTAATGTTTGTAAGTTTAAATAGATGCCCTCAGAATATTTCTAGTACCAAGTCGTTGTTGCTAGGGCTCCAGTATACACGACTTTAAATACTAGTATTTTTTTACGAAATATTGTTAAAGAATAGATTAAATTTACTAGGCCCTGCTTTCTTAAAATTTCACGGCCCTTCATACCAATCACCCCAACTATTGCTTTAATTGTCTTATTCTTCCTGGTCAGAATATCCATAAAGGATAAGTTAAACAATCTTGAGAATTATTTCATGAATATTCCGGACGATAGCAATAACAGATCCAGTAAGATAATATTTAAAATGATATGGTCTTATATGTATTTCCGTTCTTATTTAAAAATAAATGTTGTCCCTAGGATCTAGAAAAGATATTTGTCATATTATTTAACAACGCAAAATAAATTGTTTGCATGACAACAATGAACTAAATGCAATATAGAAAATCTTATATAACCTAGTTTGAATACAAAAGATCTGCAACATGACTTTAAATATAGATTATCGGAATGAGTCCAAACAAATTGTATGTGTCACGCCATGTATTTTCCTAGAAGACGTTTATCTTTCAGAGAATAATAATAAATGATTACAATGCCAAAACTAATGTGTTATCCTACAATGGACATTTTGCACATTTACTCATTTTAGGACAAACTAGAGAAGATAGGACTTATCCACAAGGATAAATTATCCTCAACATGCACAATAGCATCTTTCAAATAAGGCATCTTGCGAAATATCTTGTTTGATAAGACCAAGGCTCATATCTTGGTATTAATGACAAGACCTCAAAATGAGACTTTTTGTGCCAATTTTATTCAGTTCTAAGTAGTAATGCAAATATTAAAAATAAAATTTCAAATATATCAATACTGATATCTATCACGACATAAGAACTTCTGAGGGGTGTCATTTGATATATTCATAACAATTTAAAGGGGCAATACAAGTGGCCTTTTCATAACTTGTCCTTTTGCAAAGATACTAGCTTCTAATTCAGTAAAATGTAAAAACGATCTCACTTTTGTTGAAATCCTTTTGTATCAGATTGATACAGAATGATATTTGTTTCGGATAATGACGAATTATTTCGCAGAACTTTTAGTTTACCTTGATTATCAAAATTTACCTACTAGAGATTCAGGATTGGTTTAATACTGGCAAGGTTATTGCGTTTGTTGTTAAACAGAGAAAAGTGAGAGATCAATAAACGCCATTTCATGATATGCTGCATACTAATAAAACTGGTTGAATCTAAATAGGATTTCCAGCTACTGACAAGTAGTCCGACTTCAATTCGAATCACAAACTCCGAAACAGTGGTGACGTTGCTTCGCTAAACTAAAGTCAACGTAGCGTAGCAAGGAGGACGTTACCACTGTTTCGGAGTATGTTCGAATCAATCAGATCCCATCATGGTAATCATTTTATGAAAAATGACGCGCGTTTTGTCTACATACGACTCATTAGTGACGATAGAATCAGATCAGTTGGGCGGAAAAATAAAAAACGAAGTGTTAGAACATGTACTGTCGTATATTTAGAAAAAAAACATTATAAATTCAGTATTGCATTGACTTTTGGGAAGTAATGACAGGAATTTTTGGACAAAGGTAATGTTTTTTTTACATAAATGACGATTTATTTTACATGTACATGCAAAACAACAACTGGATTATATAAAGATTGGTTTCATTATCTATCAGATAACCTAGGGTTATACAGAG